TCCATTGGCCAATATTCTAGATGGTTGTTCTCTGATTCGCAAGTACATACTAACCGATACTTCAACTCTTCGTAAATTAAATTCATTTGTATGTTCAATGTATATTCTCAAATATGTTCTCCTGGCGATTTGCAGGATTGTATGTACAAGTTCAAAGCAACAATTGAAGACATACTCAATAAAGATGAGCCATGGTATTCGTCTTGTAAAAAGTTCCACAAAAAAGTGAAAGTTATATAAGACATTGCCGCCTATAACAAATGCAATAGTCAGAATGTCGAATAAGAAATGAGGTTATACTTTGTTTTAACGTGATTCAATATTTACTAATTACTAAACACATTATATTGAATTTACTGCCCCCTATTTTGAAGGTATTGCTTACGACTTGAAGTGTGCGGTGGAGAACGACGTGCTAGAGTCATTCTTTTTGAAGTGGCTAAATATTTATTAGGCTGCAGCGTGCAAAAGTACATAGAATCAAACTCAGTAAAGGTATGACCTTAATTTATAGAGTTGACTTAATGTAAGGGGATATTTATATAGTGTTATGTGTACCGTTATGGCAACCTTACCAACTAACATATCCAATTGCTTACATCTTATCAAGAAGGAAGAATGTTACTACTACCGCAAATTGGTGTTGACTAAAAACAAGCATTTTGACTTCCTTGTGAGAATTGATATGAATGACTCAAAGCCCCGACAGAGCTTAATTGCTGAAGAAATACATCAGGCGGAAGATGAAGTGCCAATTATCGTGGATGACGCAGTCAAATCAGTAAGGATGTACAACAAAAGAGCCAAGAAAAACACAGAAGGAGCTGCCCAAATCAAACTAAAGAAACAAAAAGCCAATAGAAAGTAGATGTAGTTCTGAAATATGTATCTAAACAATGTGGAACTTTTACTGCGTACTCAATGTTTGTATTTTCTTAACTACTTACTAATTGTTAGTTTTCTATCCAATTCAAATGAAAATTCCATTTGCTACGCAAGTACGATATACATCAACTGGAATTACATACAAACTATTGTTGATGTCAATTCTATACTGAACTCTAAACGCTCACACGTCAAAAGTCCTACATTGCCTCTGTTGGCTGTTACCTTCGATCAATAAAAAAACTCGCACTCAAAATAACAATTCCATTATAATATCATTTTAAATACACGAAATAACATTCCAAATTATCCGTACATGTCATGTTCATGTATTACTCTTCTTAATATATTGTTTGCTTCCACTGTGTCGGTAGTATTTTCCCTTAAATGACCGTTTATCGACTATCTAATCGGCATATTTCAATTAGTATAGCACTATTCTTTATCTTATGGATCAGGCAGAGTTGCCCTGCCCAGTAAAGATGTGTCTGTCACATGTTAGCAGTAATGAACTTTTCCAACCACATTAAGTAGGATTAGAATACTTTATTAAACAAATTCCAACTGGGGTTCTGATTACCTTATCTTTCGTAGGTATAAAATATCCGAACGAGCCGTTAACAAATGTAAGAAATTTGAATAGGCTTATGGTAACATGCCTTTCCAGTTTTCACTCAAAAAACACGCCATTTCCTACTCCCTGCCTTTGAATTTTTTTTTGTTATAATAATGGCCATTTTCCGATTGTAGAGGTACAATATGGACAATGGTGAATTATCCATCATTCACTCAGCGCCGGATATTAACTAACGACTTCGTTCGATGCAGTTAGTTTATTGATACAATATCATAAATTGAGGTGATTGTATTACTAGAAAATAAACTTTAATACCGTCCCTACATTAATTAGTAAAGTGGCAAAAACTTAATACATATTATCGGCCAATCAAATTTCTATGAAGCAATAACAATTTCATACTGTTAACAATTAAAAATTATTTTATTACACCACATTCCATGTTTCCAGCAAACACCCATTGTCGGAAACTATAGAATCCTGCAAAACCTAACAACTACACTTTCAAAACCCATGAAAAAATATAACAACACTAAATAATACGACGCATCCAGAGCAGCAAACATCAGTCGACAGTCACACCTTCTTTACAACATCACAACTTTCTGGATTTTGATTGCAACTCACTGCAAAAGTTGCCTCTACAATCATTGAAACTACTTCAACACACCCCTCTTAAACACACTATGGTACTCCAGCATCTTAGTAAAATAAATCACAAAAGTTTACACCTTCTTCAGTATCTTTCTGAATACTATACCCATCACATACCATTGTTCCATCACTACGCAATACTAACACATTGGAAACCGGTCACACATTCATTTAGTCGCAGCGTCCGTCGATTCAATTTGCACGCTCCTCTGTTCTGTTTTCACATTAAATACCACCTGCGAAAGTTCAAAGTAACAGAGCAACATCACGCATCGGGTAATAAAAACTGTAAGTTCCCTTTAATTCCCTGAATATATTCACCAAGGGACGAATTAGCATACTCCTGTAAACTACCCACAATAATTGCCTCGGCATTATTAATTTTTTCAAATTTACAAATATACACACAGGGCAGCCCCTTCATCCAAGGTGGTAGTAAAACAATGGCTCCATCATACATTTTTTGGTCTAGCGTATGGTGGTGATAAAACATATATTCCCATCCATAAATAAACAGATAGCATTGCAACCAACAACAACCTGAACAAGATGTAATACAACATTATAATCCATTGGGGTTGCGGGGATAGAGAATGCAATTAGTAGTTAGACAGGATAATTATAGACGCGGACATATCAAACAGAGGGTCTGAACCAGAGTAATCTTTAAGGGGTCTGCCCGAACCTTATGGGAATATGCATTCTATTAAATCATACAGGAATTTTCACCAAGGAACGAATTATCCTGCCCCTGTAAACTACACCCAATAATGACCTCGGCATTATTCATTTTTTCAAATTTACAAATATACAAATAGGGCAGCCCCTTCATCCATGGTGGTAGTAAAACAATGGCTCCATCCTACATTTTTTGGTCTACCGTCTGTTGGTGTTATAACATATAATACCATCCCTAAATTAACAGATAACCTTGCAACCAACAACAAGCCTGAACACGATGTAATACAAGATTATAAGCCATTGGGGTTGTGGGGATAGAGAATGCAATTAGTAGTTAGACCGGATAATTATAGACGCAGACATATCAAACAGATGGTCAGAGTATTCTTTAAGGGGCCTGCCAAAACCTTATGGGAATATGCTTTCTGTTATTTCGTATAGGATTTAATCGCTTCGCTAATCAAATGATAGTAAACCTATCGTCTTACATACATACTTTCACGATACGTATATATTCTGACAACTTGACAACCTATAGGAGCTCCCACAATTCTGCGCCACTATATATTACTTAATTAACACATTTAATGTTTGACTTCCTGCTACACTAGCACACATTATAAAATTGTCAACTACTTAATACACAAATAACACAATTCCCAAATAGGAGACCATTACCTTCAAGACAGTTCAATAAAGCATGGAAGTTCACTTGAAGCAGCCTCCCAAAACAAGAGGTATGCTTAGCAAAATGTCATTTTAATGCCAAATTTCACCTATTAGACTGACTAAAGATTACAAATTATAACATCATCCCATCCTATTTGCACCAGGGGTCAAACGCAAAATACTGACGGATGTAGAGAAGGCATTGCAAACGGTGGAAAACATAATTCCCTCTACTGATCAAATTGACGATGGCCATGTTCATGAATAACAAGTGAAGAAGTGGAAAAAAAAAGTGAAGCGTCCAGCTATATCTGACGCGAATGTTGACGGAGGTATATTAGCTCAAATATTCTACACCTAAAGCTATACAAAAGAAGTGTTGTCGACATAAAATAACATTCTCCAACTATATATTATTATGGTTTGTGTTATAGGGCTTACTCATGGAAACTTCAGACCAGCATCAACTAATAAATTGGAAAAAAAACAAGATTGCACCTACTGCCATGCTTTGAGGTTTGAATATGAGCCACAAACATTCTGTTGCGCAAGTGGATATATCAATTTCACACCCAATGAAGTAGCAGATGACTTTTATGAATTATTTGTGGCCGATTCAGAAGACGCAAAATTATTCCGGAAAAATATACATGCATATAATAGCATATTTGCTTTCACATCATTTGGAGTTAAGCTCGACAAAGAATTGGAATCTTCTAGGAAAGGAGTTTACAGTTTCAAGGCACAAGGTCACATATATCATGATCTACCATCATTAATTCCAAACAATGACAGACCACGGTACTTTCAACTATACTTCTATGATACTGACCATGAATTAGCCAATATAATGTCAGTACTACAAGATGCCAATTTATCAGAGGAAGTCATGACCAAATTAGGAAATATAATGGAGGGGAATCCATATGCAGAATTCTTCTCACGGCTTAAAGAACATACAAACTTACAAAATCTAGAAATATGCATAGCTGCAAATGCTTCATTAGATCAAAGAGTGTATAACAAACCGTCGGTGGATTAGGTCGCGGCAATTTGGGTAGACGGAAATAATCTAAATACACCGTTTGAAGGAGATATTGTAGTACATGAACATTCAGGAAATAAACATCTAGTAAAACATTATTATGGTTGTTATGATCTGCTTCAATATCCAATAATTCTACCTAAAGGAGAAGGAGGTTGGCATCAAGGAATACAAAAATGTCACAATCAGATCATCAACAACCAAACACCTACAAATACAAGTATCGAATCGGGTAGATTATCATCCACTAATGCTGCTGGGTTGTTGGCCAATGAAGCACAAGTTAAGCACATTTCAATATAGCCAACAAAAATATAACTTCATTTGACTATCATATTACAAGTTTTAACTTAAAATATACTGCTACTACTAACCCTATATGGATAAGTTATCTAAGTCTAATTCTTAAAAAATGATGTAGTTGTACGACGCGAATCAAAAGGCTGTATTTCCTGTAGGGAGTACTACTATTATAGACTACAAGTACAAATGGGTGACAAATCCATACTATTACTGTGTGGGAGATTGTTGCTGCAATTTGTGGTGGACATATACATTAAGATAGAAACAACCAGACTAGAATATTATAGATTTGAGCAATCAAATTATCGAAGGGAGATACTCCAAGGTATTGTTGATAGTGTCAGTGACGGTGAGTGTAGAGGAGACAAGGTAGGACAAAGGGTATTGCTACCAGGATCGTTCATTGGAGTCCCTAGGGATATGCGACGCCGGTATATGGATGCAATGGCTTTGATTCAGGAGTTTGGACGATCAGATCTTTTCATCACCATGACATGCAACCCAAATTGGGTTGAGATTCGCAACACATGTTTTTATTGTAGAATTCCAGAAGAGAGGCTTACCGCATATACACCTACTTCTAATATTTAAAGAAGGAAACAAGATACGATCACCAGATGAGTATGATAGATACATTAGTGCAGAAATCCCTAATAAAGACACATATCCAGAATTGAGCGCATTAGTTATCAAGCATAGGAAACATGGACGTTGCGGGGAGAAACGTAAGACGAGCCCGTGTATGAAGGATGTACATTGTAAATTCCACTACCCAAGAACATTCACCAACAAAACAATACAAGGAAAGGATGGATATCCGATTTATAGAAGAAGAAATGATGGGAGAACAAGTGAGGTCCATGGAATGAACACGAATAACCAATGGGTTGTACCTTATAATCCCTATTTGTTGATGAGATATAATTGCTACATTAATGTTGAAGTCTACTCAGGAGTTAAAGCAATAAAATATCTTTATAAATATATATATAAAGGGCACGATAAATGTGCCGTATATTAGAATCTGTTGATGGGGAAAAATTCATTGATGAAATCAGAAGTTTCCAAGATGCACGATGGGTCTCACCACCAGAAGAAATGTGGAGAATATATGAGTTTAACCTAATTGAAATGCAACCGGCAGTTATCAACCTACAATTACATCTTCCAGGCAAACAAGCAGGTATTTTACAAATTTGGGACAAATAAGATTTACACTTACAGTTTCTACCCTAGATAGAACATCAGTTTATGTTATGCTTACTAAACCATATGTAATGTGCTACTGGAAGAAACAAAATCTACAATCTATCGTGTAATCAGACTTTGTACAACAAACTATGCTTACGGAGTATTTCAGGATGTTCTCTATATACATGGAGGCTTGCAATTATCTTTACAGAGAGCTCCCCGAGCATTATGTATGGAACTCACAATCCAAAATATGGACAAAATGAAAATCACGCACAGTTAATTAATCATACAAAATGAAGATACTAAATGAATCTACTCAATATCGCAGCAAATCCTAGAGAAGGAGAAAGGTATTACGAAAGACAATTATTGAATCACGTACGAGGATCCTTTTCATTTGAAAAATTACTAACTATTAATGGAAAGCAGTGTGAAACTTTTAAAGAGGCAGCCAAAGAAAGAGGGTTATTAGAATCAGATAACAACATTTTAGAATATTTACGCGAGGCTGTTACCTTCAAGATGCCAACATCACTACGATGTTTGTTTTCTACGATCTTAGTTCATTGCAACCCTACGGATGTGAGAAGTTTCTGGGACACATATTACGGGGATATGTCCGAAGACTTTCAAAGGAGCCATTCCACCACAACTGAGGCATAACTCCAATGTACCTTGAAAAGTATTAATTATTACTTGGAGAGTATGGGACAAAGTGTTGACAAATATGAAATACCAATAATAAAACAACAATTACATCAAATAGACACACGTGACTGTAGAGAAATAATAGGAGAAATGAATGTCAAGGTGCCAGTTGAGGATGCAGCTGCCCAATCCAAGATGAATCAACAACAAACCCAAGCTTTCAATACCATTCTAGAAAGGGTCAATTCAGAAATAGAAGGTTTATTCTTTGTAGTTAGGCATTGGGGAACCGGGAAAACTTTCCTATACCGGGCATTACTGGCCAAGGTGAGATCAAAAGGTATGATAGCATTTGGTGCAACCAGTGGTGTGGCATCAGCACTATTTCCTGGAGGGCGCACGACACACTCAAGATTTGGCATACACCTATAAGCAAATGAGACAAGTATGACACATATGTCGAAACAAGGCGGCGGTGCGAAACTAATTAGATAGGCCAAATTAATAATATGGGACGAAGCGGCACACGATTGAAACAGTTGACCGAAGCTTTCGCGATATAATGGATAAAGATGCACCATTTAGAGGTAAAGTCATGGTATTTGGAGGCGACTTCCGACAAGTACTGCCTGTTGTACCAAAATCCACACGAGCAGAGACGGTAGATGCAAGTTTAGTGAGGTTGTATTTGTGGCCTTTAATGGAAAAGATAAAGCTATCGACAAATATGCGAGCAAGATAGATACAACTTTTAGTGAGTTCTTGCTTCGTATTGGAAACAGAGAAGAAACCACAATAAAAGAAAACTTGATAGCGCTTCCGCAACAAATGATTATCGAACAAAGTCAGGATGGTAATCCAGAAGAATCATTGGTGAGGGAAATTTTCCCAGCGCTTTAACAAAATTACAGATCTGCTGAGTATATAACAGAACGGGCCATCTTAGCGAGTAGATATGAATTTGTAGATAACCTAAATGAATTGATTATTGGAAAATTCCTTGGAGAAACAAAAACATACATCATCTTTGACGCAGCGGAAGATGATACCAACAACTACTATCAAGAAGAATACCTCAACACCTTGACACCAAATGGCTTACTGCCACATAGGTAGTTTATCAAATACATCAAAAGTTATACATCTGTGTTATTATTATGTTATCTCATAACACAAATGAATAAAAAATTGCACTATTACAATTACAAACCAATTGATGAATCGTTACATTATATATGATAGGTTGGTTCTGAAAGAAAATGCACCCATAATGATGCTGAGAAATCTAGACCCCTCAAATGGGTTGTGCAATGGGACGCGATTGATTTGTAGAGGTTTCGACAGGAATGTCATACATTCAGAAATAACAACAGGTCATTATGCCACAAAGCAAGTGTTTATTCCAAGAATACAACTATCAACACCCGAGAATGAAAGATATCCTTTCAAATTTATTCGGAAACATATTCCAATACGTCTATGTTTTGCAATGACGATAAATAAGGCACAAGGTCAAACAATACCAAATGTTGGATTGTACCTACCACAACATGTTTTCTCACATGGTCAACTGTACGTGGCACTATCAAGAGGAATATCAATGGCGACAACTAAAATATTGATCATGACTGAACAACCAGAGCGGCACATAAGGACATGCACAAGAAATATTGTCTACAAGGAAGTTTTAGGAGAGATTTGATTAATACCAACATTCAAATAAATTAAACAGGGATAAGCATACACACCACATGGAGCTAATAAAGGATTGGTAGATGCAGTCATAAGTTTGGTGGAAGAAGAGAGAATATGAACAACATCAGACAACTACCAAATAAGACATTGCTTTTGTGTGTATTAACAATGATTATGCCCTATTGTAAAGGGGTCATGACGTACATGAAAGAACATAACTAATACGGTAGATGTTAAGTCATGCACGATTACTTAACAACAAATAACGTACAATCAAATTAACAGTACGGCGCTCGACTATACTTGGCATAAAAGAAATAGTAGAGTTGTGTATCTGGTCACTAACTATGGCGTTCTGAATAATGACTTACAAACCAATAGTATGTACAACTTAAATGTACACTAACAAAAACGGATTACTGTACATGGATCTAAAGACTAGACATACAACTCCAACAACTGTGCAACTCACATTACCATGCTCCTTTCGCAATCAACACAGTCCTTCACGAACAAACATGACTTCCGACTCTCCCATTCTAGACAGACACCATCATTCATCCACCAACAGACGCAAATACTAGCTATCCCCTCATTAAAATGGTCCACAACATATTCTGCAGCAAACAAACAACCAATATCAAGAAACACATCCAACTTCATTGAAAAAGAAATAGGTATGCCCTGTTGCATACTATATACCCTGTTACTGCCTAAGTATAATACATAGTCAACTGACATTTCAAAATAAGAATTCACAACTTAAAGCACACGACAAGATGAAGACGACACTTCTCAGATTTAATATAACTTTACACAAGTAGTAGCCATCAAAACTAAGCATGTATGTTACCCAATTTTAAAATGGAAATAAATATTGTATGACCATCTATTAGATGTTTCCACACATATTACACCTATGGTCAAAATAACAGGTGGTCACAACATGTACTGCAATACTTAATACCCTACCGACCGCTTGAGTGGGAATTTATTTGCCTTAATGTTCACTAGACAGAAATCACGTATTAAGGCTGAGTCTAATTTATTTATGGTTGTATTATGCGTATTACAAGTAAAGAGCTATAAAAAAAATTAACAAGGAAATTATCCAAAAAAGACCGAAACACACGAGTGGTGGGAACAAGTAAAATGCCACATACTACCCACTTGCAAAAGAGTGGTCACGCATGCGACTAAAACTCAACACAACCGGCTGACGCCCAACAGCGAAAAGCAAAACAAATTGTGCCAAATATAGTACCAATAGATTATCATAGATGTATCAATCTTAAGACGAAGCAACCACGTGCAACGCACGTGCGGTAAATCTAGTTACCTTAAAAGCATGAACCCCTAACTTGAATGTTAAATTACTATAATATCCCTAACTTAGGTTGTGACTTTTTCGATGAGTTGTGACTTTTCTTATAAGTTGTGACTTTTTTCAAAGAGTTGTGATTTTTTGATGAGTTGTGACTTTTCCAAAGAGTTGTGATTTTTCCAAATAGTTGTGACTTTTCCAAATAGTTATGACTTTTTCAATAAGTTGTGACTTTTCCAAAGGGTTGTGACTTCTTGGAAAGGTCATGAATTTTCATATAAGACACAAAAAACACTTGTTGATACTTCCTTTTGTGACTATAAATAGAGGGGTTTCCTCTCATTTTTCAACCACAATTTTTTTTAATCTTCTACTATTCTTCTTCTTGCATTTTAAAAATTTCATGTGATTTACTGTCATTGAGTGAGTTCGAAGTTTAGCGGAATATAATGTACCAGTATTCCGATGAAGTAAATTGTTCTATCGTAAGAGGGTATATTCCTTAACCTCGAGTACTTGAGGAAAATAATTCTGATGATATAATGATTTTTTTTTGCTTAGTATATACAATAGTATTTAATGTTCCAATAGATGAGTAACATGATGTATTCTAAATTCATTTGTTTCTGTTAACAATTTTTCTTGTGATCTAGATATATGCTTCTGAATATCCTTTTCAAATATTATTAAACTTCTCAAGAGTTAGAGAATTGTCACGATTTATTTTTTG